GAATGAAATCCTTTAAGGGTTATACATCCTACCAACTTAAATTCTTTGTTGTATATGTTGTATAGACAGATCACATGATATATTTATTAGTTCACCTTTCCATGTTTACAGAATCTGGTCTTTCAATCACAGTTCAGTATGTTCAGAGACACTTTAACACTTGAGTAGAGAACATTTTCTTATACCTTTGATAGATATTTTGAGGGCTAGTCTTGAAAAATACTGGGGGGGGGGGGCATTTTTCATATTTTGGGGGGAACATGGCCCCCAGACCCCTGTGGAGATTATGCCCTAGATTGTGAAGCACTAACAGTAACTTTAAGTGATGCTCTTGTATCTCTAACAGAGAAGTATTTATCCTACCTCTGCAGCCTGAGCACAGTCTTTAGTTCTTTTATGGAGCAGAAACCAATTCTCCTCATACCTACAGAAACAAATTTTATATACATAAGCATAACAGTTACATACACATCAAAACTTGGAAAATTGTGGGGGGGCAGCATTACTCATGCTGTGTGGACATAAATCTGTTTACAGTGTCACACTGTGGGAACTAGAGTTGCAACGGTATGAGATTTTCACAGAGCGATAATGGTCTCAGAAAATATCACAGTTTCAGAGTATTACACAATTAGTATTATCAACTACAACGGCCCTCAAAAGAAGGGGGGAAAAGGATTGGCTTATTTTATTGCAAGTGACTGTGCCAGTGGACTGAGCTGGACTGCAGCAACTGACCCTAAAGAATAAAAAGAGTGAGAGTGGCATTATTTAAAAAAAAAAAACACCATATAACTATCCATATAATTAAAGCATGTTAGTTTGCTTGTTAGCAGCAGCAGTAGAGGAAGTATTCACATCCTTTACTTAAGTACTACTATCACACTGTTAAAGTAGCCTACCCTCTTACAAGTGGGTCAAAGAATGGAATGCGCAAACACATCCGCCTCGGTGGGTGCCATGTTTTCATCAGTGAAGTAGAAGTTCAGCATTGAAAATGTTAAATAAAATTAAGTATTATCAGGAAAATGCACTTAAAGTATTAAACAAAGAAGTAGGTTGCTCAATGCTGAAAAATGTTATACTATCTACCCTGTGCTGTTATACTATTGTATATTATATCATTCACAGCTTGTCACTCGTGCTGATGTAAAAGCAGGACTTGACTGTTACAGTTGGTTGAGGTGAATCTCTGCTGCAACTATTGATTATTTCCACTGGGGATTAATCTGCTGATTATTTTCTCTATTAAATCGACTGAATGGTTTGTAAAACTTATGACAATAGTGAGAAATGCCATCAGAATGCACTAGGTATGCGACAGCGCAACCAGAGTGGTCCCATCTATACCTTCACTCACACACACACATACAGTGCCTTGCGAAAGTATTCGGCCCCCTTGAACTTTGCGACCTTTTGCCACATTTCAGGCTTCAAACATAAAGATATAAAACTGTAATTTTTTGTGAAGAATCAACAACAAGTGGGACACAATCATGAAGTGGAACGAAATTTATTGGATATTTCAAACGTTTTTAACAAATAAAAAACTGAAAAATTGGGCGTGCAAAATTATTCAGCCCCCTTAAGTTAATACTTTGTAGCGCCACCTTTTGCTGCGATTACAGCTGTAAGTCACTTGGGGTATGTCTCTATCAGTTTTGCACATCAAGAGACTGAAATTTTTGCCCATTCCGCCTTGCAAAACAGCTCGAGCTCAGTGAGGTTGGATAGAGAGCGTTTGTGAACAGCAGTTTTCAGTTCTTTCCACAGATTCTCGATTGGATTCAGGTCTGGACTTTGACTTGGCCATTCTAACACCTGGATATGTTTATTTGTGAACCATTCCATTGTAGATTTTGCTTTATGTCTTGGATCATTGTCTTGTTGGAAGACAAATCTCCGTCCCAGTCTCAGGTCTGTTGCAGACTCCATCAGGTTTCCTTCCAAAATGGTCCTGTATTTGGCTCCATCCATCTTCCCATCAATTTTAACCATCTTCCCTGCCCCTGCTGAAGAAAAGCAGGCCCAAACCATGATGCTGCCACCACCATGTTTGACAGTGGGGATGGTGTGTTCAAGGTGATGAGCTGTGTTGCTTTTACGCCAAACATAACATTTTGCATTGTTGCCAAAAAGTTCGATTTTGGTTTCATCTGACCAGAGCACCTTCTTCCACATGTTTGGTGCGTCTCCCAGGTGGCTTGTGGCAAACTTTAAACGACACTTTTTATGGATATCTTTAAGAAATGGCTTTCTTCTTGCCACTCTTCCATAAAGGCCAGATTTGTGCAGTATACGACTGATTGTTGTCCTATGGACAGAGTCTCCCACCTCAGCTGTAGATCTCTGCAGTTCATCCAGAGTGATCATGGGCCTCTTGGCTGCATCTCTGATCAGTCTTCTCCTTGTATGAGCTGAAAGTTTAGAGGGACGGCCAGGTCTTGGTAGATTTGCAGTGGTCTGATACTCCTTCCATTTCAATATTATCGCTTGCACAGTGCTCCTTGGGATGTTTAAAGCTTGGGAAATCTTTTTGTATCCAAATCCGGCTTTAAACTTCTCCACAACAGTATCTCGGACCTGCCTGGTGTGTTCCTTGTTCTTCATGATGCTCTCTGCGCTTTAAACGGACCTCTGAGACTATCACAGTGCAGGTGCATTTATACGGAGACTTGATTACACACAGGTGGATTCTATTTATCATCATTAGTCATTTAGGTCAACATTGGATCATTCAGAGATCCTCACTGAACTTCTGGAGAGAGTTTGCTGCACTGAAAGTAAAGGGGCTGAATAATTTGAGCCAGGAAAGTTTGTGTTTCTGGGGTCAAATCGGGATCAGTGTGACTCCATTTGTTCGTCAGAGACTAGCAAATGAACAATGTGGAAATTTTTTGATAGCACACTTATGACCAATGTTTACATGCTCACATTTTATTGTTTCTGAATAAATTTATAATTGTGCCACATACTTTGATCTGCATGAAGGGATGGTGTTCGTTTTTGAGATATCCAAAGTAATCCTGTGTTGCTGCTTTTAATTTCTTTTTCATTGGATCGAGTTTGGGGACAGTCCATCAGCCCTCTCTCTGCTTCGTGTGTGTGTGTGTGTGTGTGTGTGTGTGTGTGTGTGTGTGTGTGTCGCCCTTCACAGAGTCTGACAGTCAGGAAGAAAGTTGCACATGCTATGCATTTTTTTTTCTGCCTTCAATACCGGTAATAACCAAATGTGCATGTATGATAATCATCAATTTTCATACCTTGGTATACTGTGAAACCAGCATACCACTGCAACCCTAGTGGGAACTCATCATCATTATGGGGAAGCACATTCCCAAAGTGTAAATGTGTGTGTGTGCCCAGAGACCTGCTGAGGATTTCCAGTCCAGCACTGAAATGAGGACGGGTTTCTTCAGACCTGAACAACAAAAAGGAGAATCATTAATCCATAGACAGATCCATGATAATTTGTAGTGTCACTTAGTGAGTGAATAACGTGAGCATTCATACAGTTAGGAGGATTTACATCTTTTATTCATGTGGCTAGACAAAGATGGCACCCCTCCACCCTGAAAAGCAAGGAAAAACCGTGGAACCAGCTGCTCAGTGTTGTGGCCAGAAAAAAGTCAATGGTGTCTTTCCCAGCAGTAGCCTGAGACCTTGCTGCGCCAGTAGTGTATGCAGCTGTCAGGAGGGTTTTTAACCACACAGGAATGAAGCTGTGGTCACCAAAACCAATTTTAGATTGAAATCTAGTTTGTTTAAATGTTATTTGAATAAGCCTTTAGCATCAAACCAGATTCTTCTTTCGGCTGTTTCCATTAGGGGTTGCCACAGCAAATCATCTATTTCCACCTATCTTCGGCATCCTCTACTCTCGCACCAATTAACTTCATGTCCTCTTTTAGGATAAGGAGGAGGACCAAGTATTGACCAAGTATGTTACACACAAGGAATTTGTTTCCGGTACAGAACTGATGGCACTGCGGCGCCACCTCAACTGATGGCTCTAACCATCGGGGGCACTGGGGGGGTTCAGTGTCTTGACCAAGGACATTTCGACACGTGGACTGCCAGCACCGAGACTTGAACCTTCAACTTTCTGGTTGGGAGACAACTGCTCTACCCACTGCACCACTGTCACCTCCATACATCTCCTCTTTGAAGAGTAAATTGTAACTAAAACAACCCGGTAAATTTAATACTACAATACTACCTGTTTCCATAATAAATGATACAGGTCATTACTGTGAGCTGAATTATTTTCCATAGAAAGGTGGCTCAGAGCACCGTGGAAGAAATGTTGCTTGGACCTTGCTAGGATATACATACGTGTCGGTACTGTTGGCTATAGAACACTAATATGCAAACTTAAAACCAAAATTTATTTTTGATATAACTACATTTTGATCCAACACTATCAAAACTGCATTAACTAACTTTTCCATCTAATTTTAGACCATTACAGGTGAAGTCAAAACTCAAGCAATCCCAATAGTTAATATTACTTGATTTGAATCTCACATTTAATATTTGTAGTCGTCACCTGTGAACACCTCACTACATGTCATTTAGAAGCACCATAAGCAGTAGGCTAGGGTGGAAGATGGAACTGCCTAGGTTGAGTGGGTAAAAATACTTTTATCAGGATGAAAGGTGTTAAGACCATTACTGGAAAATGCTAATTGTGTGCAAGTAGTGGCAAGACTTTCCATTGCAAAAAACATGACCTCAAACCTCTTTAAACACTTAAGACAGCACAACAGAAGCATGGAGATACACCTCAACAAAGATAATCCCACCATGGCCCTCAATGGTGTAAATTTTGACAACTTCTCAGTAAAATGCTATAGGGCTGCAGTGTTATGTCCGACATAAACTGAACCAAAACCAAGAAAAAATTTGCAAAATTACTTCATTTGCTAATCTAAGAAAATGCACTGGTTTCTGCAAATTGGACAACAAAACAATAATGTTGCAGAAAGTTGGAACGACTCCGAATTACAACCAGAATAATTCAGTACAAAGTTACAAAATTGAAAAGCTAACGTTAGCTTGCCAATGATACTGACATATACACATTAGCCAGCTACATTAAAGTTACACGTCCCGAAGGAAGAAAGACATCTATGTCAAATTTTATCCTTTTGGATGTTTTAGCGCTCTCCATCTCCAACATACCAACCCAACATTAACCCTGGTTTTCATTCTTTGTCACCCTCCTTCTTGCTACAGAGCACGGCCTCTTGGGTCTAACAGGTCCGCTCCCATCCTGGGTTGTACCTGCACAGGGAGCCTCCACGGTCCATCTTTGAAATGAGCCATACTGGAAAAACACATCTTATAACCTTGAATCGGTGGGAATGTGGAAGAAGGGCAGTGTGGATTTTAACAACAGTAGCCACAGAGGGCAAAAAATAAACACAAGGCCTGAAGACAGCATACTGGGGTGGAGGGATTTAGTACAGCAGGGACAACATTTCTAAACAAATTTTTACTCGATTTATCCAAATCTGTGCTGAATCCTAGTTAATGCAGCTTTAATTTAGAAACCATTTAGAAAATCAATTATTAAAAATATTTATCTATTAAAGGTGCATCAACTAAGACATGACACACTGTCCGCTAAAGTGAAAATGGGACTGGTCTCTCTCAACTATCCCAATCCCCTCAATGGCAGTCTGCTACCTAGAGCCCATCAACTTCTCAATCTAGTGCTGTCAATGTATGGTCCATAAATTAGCCCCACCATCCACCTAACAAATGTTATGAGAAGCATTTTTTGAACTGCAAGTAGTCATTTCAGTCAGTCACCCATGGAAGACCTCTCATCTTATAAGTCCAAAACAGTGGCTCCCAAAGCTAAGAAGCTGTATTCTTTTGTGCAGAGAGTGGAAAAAGTGTTTGTTTTGGTAACAATAGTGACCTAGCATGGGCACTTCATATGCCAATTTATTTTTTGCTCTAGAAGATTATAAACATGACAACAGCTCTAGATTTTCTAGCCAAGTCTGAGTGCTGTTCTCAGAGGTCATCAATTCCCAAAATAAAACTAAATGCATGTCAAAGAAGTGCTTGTTTTTGGTAACATTAGTGAATAGAATGGGCATGATTTTACCTCTGCACTGAATTAATATGATTTTATGCCAGAAATTTAAGACGGCTGCATCGCTAAGTGTCAGATCAGAAATTCTCAAGGACAGAAGCACACCTTCCAAGCACAGCGCTGGTTAATGTGTGAAAAGGTGATATGGGAGAGTGTTGATGAGAGAGGGGATGCTGAACTGAAGGAGCTAAGCTCAATGCAAGTGTGTGTACTGCACTCACTCCAAGCTGTGCAGGGGATGCATGAGAAAATACAGTAGCCTATGTCGATGTAAGGAGTATGTACTGTATGTACAGTATGTTGTAATAACAGGAAAAGGTCATGTTTAAAGGTAAGTTTATCTTGTAAAAACAAGTATAAGGAGAAAGGCTTCTGGTTATAACAAGGTACTTGTTATAACAAGGAAGGAAATTCTTTTCTCACGGTGGGAGGTGGTTCTTGTGCACACTAAAATACAATCCTGCCAGCAACACTTTATATGATCCCTAGAGTTTTTGTTTTTTTAAGGCAGAGTCCATTGTTGTCTAAACGATTACGATATGGCCAACGTGTGCACAATCCCATCCCTACTTTCAATGTGTGAGCAATAGTCTATTCTACTAAGCTACATGAAGCTGTGAATGTGTGGGCTCTGAAAACTTTTTGTAAAGTATGTAACAAAGTCCATAATGTCAGTTCACACATCCTTGCAACTAAATGCAACTATCTAAAGTTCAAAGCGAGCATCAGAATGGGGAAGAAGGGGGATTTAAGTGACTTTCAGCATGGCAGGGTTGTTGGTGTCACATGGGCTGGTCTGAGTATTTCAGAAATTGATCTATTGGGATTTTCACACAAAGCCATCTCGAGGGTTTATAGAGAAAGTTCTAAAATATCCAGTGAGCGGCAGTTCTCTGGGTGAAAATACCTTGCTGCCAGAGGTCAGAGGAGAATGGCCAGACTGCTTAAGGCTGATAGAAAGGCAACAGTAACTCAAATAACCACTCATTACAACAAGGTATGCAGGAGAGCATTTCTGAACACACAACACATCAAACCTTGAAGCAGATTGACTACAGCAGCAGACCACACCAGGTGCCACTCCTGTCAGCGAAGAGCAGGAAACCAAGGCTACAATTCAAAAGGGCTCACCAAAATTGGACCATAGAAGACTGGAAAAATGTTGCCTGGTTTGATGAGCCTCAATTTTTGTCACTTTTGTGACATTCAGATGGTAGGGTCAGAGTTTGGCATAAGCAACATGAAAGCATGGGGCCATCCTGCCTCTTATCAGTAGTTCAGGCTGCTGATGGTGGTGTAATGGTGTAGGAGATTTTGGCACATTTGGGCCCCTTACTACCAACTGATCTGCGTTTAAATGCCACAGCCTACCAGAGTATTGTTGCTGACCATGTCCATCCCTCTACACCAAACTGGTACTAGCAAGGTGTACCTAATAAAGTGGCTGGTGGGTTTACGTCACACTTTCAACTTCTTTTAGAGAAAACTGAAAAATGTCTTTTTAAGTGGAAGGGTGCCAACACTGTTTGCCACATTTGTATATGATGTAATATATCCTACACACAACACACACACGTGCTTTCTTCTAACCTAGGTCTCCTGATTTTGGTGTCTCTTGATTTGTCTCCAAGGGTCTTGAAACTTGAGTGAGAGAAGAATGGGAGATAAAAGAGAGCAAGAAAGAGAGAGCTGTTTAAAAAAAGCTGCCAGCCTTGGCACACAAAAAATAATAAGCAACACACTTGTAAACTAACTATTTATATACTTGATCAGTTTTAACAAATGTGCAACACACCTGTCAAACACAGATGGTAGTGTAGTGGTTTAAGTTACATGTTAATATGGATTACGTAATAGAATAGAGTGTTTGGGGGTTCACTTTTAAGTTCATGTGAGCTGAACAATGGGCTTATATAATTTGGCCAAGATGTTTCCTGTTTTTGGGTACATCTCTGGGTGTTGTCTCCTAAAACTGGAGACAGGAAGCTAAGTTCGGAAATTGACGTAACAGCCTAAGAAAGCTGTGGATAAAAACGGTGAGGCTGAAGGGTGTAGAGGAAGAAGAAGGCTACCGTGACAGTGAAGGGTGCTGCTCTTTGGGACCCAGGCCTGGGTAGGGGAACGGATGCTGACTGACTGTATCCTGTGACCAAGACTGATTGATTCTGTGGCAATCTTCTTATTTAATACTGTATCCATTGCAGGAGAAGTGATTCTGTTCTCTGTTCCCCAACTACCAGATTACCTATTTAACTACTACTCTGTTCAGAATAATTGTAATACTAAATGATTATTTAAATTGGGATGATTTGTCTAAATTAATTTAGTCGGTATCACATTCTAACCACGACAGTAGTGAGCCTAACTATTAGGTGCAAATGAAGTGCAAGGTGAGCCTGTCTGCTAGAATGTGTCTGTGACCGAACAGACTTCTCTGGGGAATTTGATCAAATAGGTAGGGAGCGGCCCGGGTTCGAATCAGGGTTACGCCAGGAAGGGCATCCGGCGTAAAACACGTGCCAAATGTCAATATGCGAGTCGTCAGTATGACGATTCGCTGTGGCGACCCCCAAACGGGAAAAGCCGAAAGTGACTTTCTAGGTAGGGAGGAAAAAACCCATCACATGATCGTCAGCTGAAAACAATAACCAGGAACTGCTAAGGCCAAGCTAGCCAGGACAATCACAAACCTAAACAGCGTGGTTAAGCTTGAACATTTCATTGATAAATAAATAAATGTAACTTCTTAAATTCCGCAATGCAAACACCGTAAGGTGTACGCCATAAATGAGCGTTCCAGCTGTCAATGTGGAAAATAAGGACCGTAGAAAGACTGCTGCAACCAGGAATAGCTGCTAAGCAGTCGAAAATGCTAACACTTTGAGCATAGCTAACGTTGTTTATTCTGCTCCATGACGCTGTCTAACGCACACTTTCAGGTTAACCAGATGACTATGTTTTAGTCGGGAGGATTACAACACAACAGCTAAAGCACAAAAAGCAAACTAACCACTGTGAAATCCTTCTGAACCATATGAAGTCTCTCTCTGAAGTTGTCAAACATGATTCTCCGTCTTCTTCTTCTTCTTCTTTTTCAGCTGTTCTTTAATGGCGGTTGGCAACCAGCTTTAGGTACATTACCGTCACTTTCCAGACCAGAGTGTGGATCAGAACGACCCCTACCTACCACCACACCTAAATAACCCCACTCAGTTATGATTCTTCTCAGTAATGGTTTTGCCACTTAAACATCCTGCTTCTGATTCTGATTCCGATTACGATTCCGGCTATTCTTCGTCTTCCTTGTCTATAATGTCGGGTGGCAAACCAATGGTCAGGTGCATTACCGCCACCTACTGGCCTAGCGAATGGATCACCAGATTACCAGTTCAAAGAATACTAGTAATTATTAATAAAGAACAATTATTGTATGGATGCTGAATCAGCATCCATAGTCCATAGTATGGATGCTGATTTAGCATCCATACCATGTTTTCCAACCATACTATGGACTATGGATGCTGATTCAGCATCCATACCTTGTTTTCCAAATCTTTATTATTGTATGGATGCTGACAAGCATCCATACAATGTTATCCTGTTCTTTAATATTATTACTTTTCTGATTTCTTCCGTCCGTTATTCAGCACTTAACTACTTCAGCATACTTTCAGCTAGGAAAGCCATTCAGGTATCAAAATGTTCAGCTTGTTAAGGACATGTGTGCTTCCATTCAGAATTATACTAAACTTCATACTTTCTAAAATATTCAGCTTTATTCAGAAAATTTTGCCACATTCAAATGAATGGGAAAATTCAACTTCAGCATAATTTCAGATATTTCAGGTATCAAAATGTTCAGCTCTTCAAGGACATTCATACTACTATTCAGAACTTTTCAAAACTTCATACTTTTGAAATACTTAGCTTTATTTTGAAAATCTTGCCCCATTCAAATGAATGGGAAAATTGTACTTCAGCACAATTTCAGCTATCAAAATGTTCAGCTCCTCAAGGACATTCATGCTTCTCTTCAGAATTTTTCTAAACTTCATACTTTTAAAATATTCTGTTTTATTTTGAAATTTTTGCTCCATTCAATTGAATGGGAAAATTCTACTTCAACATAATTTCAGCTATCAGAATGTTCAGCTCTTCAAGGACATTCATGCTTCTCTTCAGAAGTTTTGTAAACTTCATACTTTTGAAATATTTAGCTTTATTTTGAAAATCTTGCCCCATTCAAATGAATGGGGAAATTCTACTTCAGCATATTTTCAGCTATTTCAGCTATCAAAATGTTTAGCTCTTCAACTACATTCATGCTTCTCTTCAGAACTTTTGTAAACCTCATACTTTTGAAAATATTCAGCTTTATTTTGAAAATCTTGCCCCATTCAAATTAATGGGAAGATTTTTACTTCAGCATAATTTCAGCTTTTTAAATGTTCAGGTATTCAAAGACCTTCATGCTTCTATTCAGAAGTTTTGTAAACTTCATACTTTTGAAATATTTAGCTTTATTTTGAAAATTTTGCCCCTTTAAATGCATTGTCTGAAGAAAATGCATTTTTCTTGTAGGGAGCTGCCAGATTGTTCTTTGCCTAGCCTAGACTCTCCAGCATTTATTCCAGTGCCTGTCATTCTGATAATGAAATTTTGCCTGCTCCTGACTAACGCTATTTGCCTTGCCCCTATTGTTGGACTGCTATGCCTTTAATTGACACCCTGCCTGAACCATCAACTGGAGATCCTGCCTCATCCCTACTATCGGACTGCTACGCTGGCTATCGACACCCTGCCTAGATTACTTATCTGTGATTCTGCCTATAAGACTGTTTCTCCTGCTCCTGAGCTCTCCCAATCTGACAATTAAACGTCACTCTGTTGTCTCCAACTACTGGCTTTTTAATTGGGTTCACTCCTTAACAGTAACGGAAGCTGCACATGCCACTCCCTGACGCGCTTTCAATGAAAGAACCAAGTAAGATCTAACAATTGACACTCTCAACTTAATATTTGGTAGTACACCATTTGGACAAAATAACTGAAATCAGTCTCCTCCTGTAACCATCAGTGAGTTTCTTCCACCTCTCTACTGGAGTTTTGGACCATTTTTCTTTTGCGAGGTGCTCCAGGTCTCTCAGATTTGAAGGGTTCCTTCTCCCAGCTGCTGTTCTGAGATCTTTCCACAGGTGCTCTATAGCAGTGGTCCCCAACCCCCGGGCCGCGGACCGGTACCGGTCCGTGGATCAACTGGTACCGGGCCGTACAAGAAATTATTAATTATTTCCGTTTTATTTATTATCTGAGTCTGAACGATCTTTTATTTTGAAAAATGACCGCATTCTTTCGGTTACATCTCGGTCACTTGAGCGCCAAAACTGGCTTACTTGTGCGACATATTCAGCCTGCTCAATGAACTCAATCTGTCACTTCAGGGGAAAATGACAACTGTCTTCAAGTTGGCAGATAAAGTAGCTGCATTTAAAGCCAAACTGGATTTGTGCGTACGGCGCGTCAACAGAGGTATTTTGGACATGTTTCAAACATTAGCGGGGATTTGGGGTGACACTGAGCCTGAGTCTTCATTCTCCCAGCTGGTGCACGATCACCTGAATATCATCTGCATAACAGTGAAAAGACAACCCATATTTCATAAAAATCGATCCAAGGGGAAGTAAATACAAAGAAAAGAGGACTGGCCCCAGGATGGATCCCTGAGGAACACCACAGTTCAAAGGAACAACAGAAGAAGAGAACTCATCAATATGTACAGCAAAACTCCTATCAGACAAATATAATTCAAACCATTCAAGAACATTACCATGAAGTCCTACAGAGTGCTGCAGACGGGACAACAAAATACGATGGTCTACTGTGTCAAAAGCAGCCGAAAGATCTAGGAGAATCAAAAGAGCAGTATTACCTTCATCCACAGTCCACACAAGATTATTAAATACTCGCAACAGCGCTGATTCGGTATTATGGTGTGTCTTAAAACCAGACTGGAACTTTTCAAATATGCCATTATTCTCTAAAAAAGTCTGTAACTGTATAAAAATCGTTTTCTCTAAAATCTGTTAGGTATTTTTAGGCAGATAGACAATGGTTAGACACTTCATGTATTAGAAATGTTTAGTGTAGACAGGATGTCTAGCTCAGGCTGTTAAATGCTTAGTCATTCCCATGGGGTACTCCAGGTTGTTTATGTTCAAGGATAACTGGATAGAAAGTTGATTACTGTAAGGAGACAGAATGTTTTTTATTATTATTATTATTATGACGTGTTTAATCATAATCGTAATCATAATATTTTCTTATGTTTAATGTCATGACATGTCACTAGATGTCATGTCAGAATGTCTTAGATACACACCACACAATCAACAGACAATCACACATTGATTTTCTTCATGCTTTGACTACTGCTAGGGTCAGCTGCAAAGCTGGCACCAGAGATGTCACGGTTTGGCGTCCCTGAGTAGTATGGGGCTAGCCCAAAGTGATATAATGTATAGGCCTGTTATGGTTCGGGGCTTTTCATCTACCAGTTGCCTGCGTGCATGTTGGAGGTGCAAAGACTCCTGAGCGTGTAATGTTAATTTTACCTGTGTTCATTGAATAAATCAGCCCTGTTTTGAAGTTACCAACACCCAACACCAACAGGGAGAAACCAGAAACAAGAGGGGATAACACTGTCATTCTTTATGTGGCTGGTTTATCAGAGAAGCTAAAAAGGATCTTTTGCAACCACAATATCCCAGTCAACTTTAAGCCAGGGAACACCCTGCAGCAAAGACTGGTCCACCTGAAGGACAAAACACCCAGACACAAACAGTGATGTGGTGTATGCAATTAAGTGTAGTCAGGAGTGTAACGACTTGTACATTGTGCAGCGGCTGCTTAGTTTCACCAAATACATGGCCCAGCTTACGATGACCTGGATGACTGAGAATCTTCTTTCTTCTCTTGTGGTCGCAAGAATCAATGCACAGGGAGAATCACTGCAGTGCCAATTATCATTTATTGAACAATATTTTATGATTATGATTGAGAGGGTGAGAAACACAATCACCTGTGTCAGTCTGAGTCTCTGCAGAGGAGGTCAGGCTGTCAGTCACCGGGTCTAGTCTTCTTCTCGGATTTTCACACACGCACCCCTGATCAGTTTTGCTGCTGGCTATATTGCAATCCCCCACTTCCTGTGATTGTCCACCCTGACATCCAACCGGGCCCCCACCCTGGGTTACACTTCTCTATTTTTGGGAACCCCCTGCAAACTTGTGCTAAACAACAGGAAGTCTGGTGCCCATGTCCTTGCACAGACCAGTACAAAGGAACAGAAAGTTCACCCTAACCGAGTGTATTCCACTACATGTTGTGCATTAACTATTATTAGCTATTAACAATATTCTGATTATATTTGTGAGAAAAGTTCTTTTATTTGAGAAGACAAGACTAATAAACGGATATTCCCCAGTGTGAAATTAACTTATCAAAATAAGCATGTGCACATGGATCTTCACTGTTTAGGATAAACAGAAAAGACTGTCCTCAACTTGCCGGTATACAATATTTGTATGAAAAGGTGCTACTATCTAATTGGTCAAAAACTGTTGGGGAGAAGCCCTGGTTTAGACGTAATTCTCCCGTGATTGGTCCTTCAGTCCGTCCATCCTCCAATCGTCCTCTCTGCTCCAATGGGCGTGAACAGCACACTAAAAAGAGGAGGAACACCTATACTGTCTTAATTCCTACATAGACACTTACTTCTTCCTTTGTTTCCAACTAACTGTTCCATTTTAGGCATTGCTTTCCGGTTCCAATTAAAACTGCTCTGCCTGTGTGTGTGTAATGGTTCTACCTTTGAAGTTTTCTCCTCTTCCTGGCTTCAGATCTAATCTCTGTTT